ATTAGTGAATCAAGTGTGGCATTTCATGGCATTTCAAATAGTGAAATGTGTTGGGGTGTGTGAGGTGAGAACTGGAGACCTACAGGTCTCTGATTGTAAATAGTTATCTTCTGTGACTTCTGCCTTCAGAGACCAGCTGGGTTGTGCGGCAGAAGCCTGATCCAAGACCTGTTATCACAATCTCTCACTATCACTATGACGCCGGGTACAGTTAAGGCTGTCGGGACGGTCTGGTGGCTGCTGCGTGAGGGTCCCGGGGTGGCGCCTCGTTCCAGGATGGGGTCCAGGTTCCTGTGTTTTGGGACCATGGGGGAACTGGTGTGATCTTTGAGGGCCAAGGGGGGCTGTGTGTGTGTGTGTCGAGACTAGCCCAGGGGTACATGACCTGCCTAACCTTCCTTCAACCCCCTGTGAATACTGACACTAATTGAGCGGCCATGAAATATAGATTATTTCTGTAGTCTCCCACGCAGGTCTCTCTCTCTGTCTGCCTTTCTGTTTCTTTGTGTGCCTCTCTCTCTCTCTCTCTCTCTCTCTCTCCGTATGTCTCCCAGCTTTTTATCCCTCCCTCAACGTCTCTCCTGCATTTGGCTTCGCCCTAACGTTACCCAATAGTGGCTGTTACCCAATCGATCCCACAATGTAGTTTTGTAATTTAGTTCATTACTATTCATTGAATGTTCTGGAATGAGTGTGTTAGGAGAACAGGTGTGTGAACGCTGTCCCAGGACCAGTTGAACGAGGGGACTCTCTGTTAAATTCTTGCTGTTGCATGGCTTGGCAATGATTTAAGGGGTCACTATATTCAAGATTTTCCCCAGTAATAATTGTTCGTTAATATTGACCGAATACTGCATTTCCAGAATGCAGCCACTGTACATGTTAATTCATGTCTAGATTGACACTGTCTCTGACAGAGCTGCAACAGGTCTTTTTCCATTTTTATAAGCGGTGATGTCACTGATGTTTCCATGGTGAGATTTAAGCGGCTAGAGACAAGAGCGTAGCCTATATGATATCAGTCCCCCCTGGTGCTCATTTGATCAGGTATGCATTTGTGTCACCGCAGATGAGCAAATTTCCCTGGGCTTTGAAACGGCTCGTCTCACGTTCAGGACTGGGGAATCTTTCCTCAGAGTGATATGGGCATGAGGCCGGATAAATACTGCGCAAAAAATAACACATCGGTTGCTGTCTTTTTTCTCGGTTTTATCATTATATGTGATATTAAATTTGTACGTCGTAGTTCAGATTATCAATTACCCTCCAGACACTCTGTCGCCTCCTCCTTGTAGACAATCACATACATCCATCCCTCCCTCATCCCTCTACACCCCTCCTCCCTTCCCTCCCACTCTCAATCCATCACACCCTTCCTCCATCCTTTCTTTCTGCTTCAGTGACGCAACCGAATGGCAAACAGTTTTGGCATGCTCCCGTGTGCCGCAGTTCACCGTCGGTCCACCATTGGGGGGGGTATTCGTATCAGAGGGTCCTGTGGATATAATTGGAGGCAGGTTTGGCGGCAGGTCACTAAGGGGCGAAAGGGAGAAAGAAAAGAAAGAGAGAGAGGGCAGGTGAAGGTTATTTCTGTATTGTTAGTTGAATGTGTCGTTGTATCACCACTACATCTCCGGAGAACCAAGTCTCTCCGTCTCTCTCTCTCTCGCTCCTCCTTTTAAACTCCTCCCTTTCCACGACCTTTTCCCTCCCTCTCACCGCCCTCCCCCACACGCTCCGTCTCTGCTTCCTGTCTTTTTAGAATTTCTGGCCAATTTTTCTCACCATCAGCACTTCGGCTTGGCTGTCCTCGTTTTCTTGTTTTCTCCATTGGCTCACACTCAAGTGGGAAATCACGAGTGTGTGTGTGAGGGTGTACTTGTGTCGCATCGAGAGGTTGGCTTGCTGCACCTCGTGCTGAGGGCCAGATTGACTCCACATTGCCTCTCCCCTATCTGACGCTAATGTGCTCTATGTGCTTATATGTATCTGATAGATGCTACTGTAAACATCCAGAGGTAAATGTAATAGATTAATGTAGACAATAAATAATACTAACCTTCCTGTCGTTTTTACAGAACCTTCTTTTGTGACGCTAGCATATTGGCCGACATAGAGCCCCGGTTTTCGTATGTTTTTGCACTCTAAAGCAGCTTCGCCAGGCTGGCATGTGCTGCCCTCACCCACGTTCACCCGTGTGACGTCCTGGTTAAAAAAACAGTGTGGATAAAGGCAGAATGGCATGGCCCTTAGTTCAACGTTTGCCATAGAAATAGAAACAATTGGATGCTGAAAACGTTGAAAATGTAACTGTTTTTCTCTATACTTCACAGTATTATGTTTCCGGTTTCATGTGGACACTAGTGTGAAGATCTGTTGCTTTTGTGACAGCTATTTTGGACACTAAACAAATGCTTTGCAAGGCCGTCCAATGATCGGCACTCCATTTGAGACCATCGATTTGTGATGGTATTGGTAGTTCTTTGGTTCATAATAGCTAGAACTCATTACTCATGTCGTATTGTGTGTTGACCTTTCAATTGTATTGTCATCTGCCTCGAAATGTCACATCGACCCACTTCAAGGAAGTAATACTCCACAACACTACTATTTTTAAATGAGTAGAGGCTGTACGTAAATGAGTCTGTACAGAAAAAGACATTTGGGTTTGGGACAGTATGTGCATGTGTTGTGTATATGCACATTTCATTCTCAGTTTCCCTCTAGTCAGTCACTCTGTCTCTAGTCTCTCTCTCTACTTTGTCTCTCTGTCTCCACTCTCTCCATCTCTACTCTGTCGCTCTGTAACCGGTCTCTCTCTCCATCTTTACTCCGTCACTCTGTATCATGTGTCACTCTCTCCATCTCTACTCCGTCACTCTGTATCATGTGTCACTCTCTCCATCTCTACTCTGTCACTCTGTAACCTGTCACTCTATCTCTCCATCTCTACTCTGTCACTCTGTAACCTGTCTCTCTCTCTCTTCATCTTTACTCTGTCACTCTGTATCCTGTCTCTCTCTCCATCTTTACTCTGTCACTCTGTATCATGTGTGTCTCTCTCTCCATCTTTACTCCGTCACTCTGTAACCTGTCTCTCTCTCTCTCCATCTTTACTCCGTCACTCTGTATCCTGTCTCTCTCTCTCCATCTTTACTCTGTCACTCTGTATCCTGTCTCTCTCTCTCTCTCCATCTTTACTCTGTCACTCTGTAACCTGTCTGTCTCTCTCTCCATCTTTACTCCGTCACTCTGTAACATGTCTGTCTCTCTCTCCATCTTTACTCCGTCACTCTGTATCCTGTCTCTCTCTCTCCATCTTTACTCTGTCACTCTGTATCCTGTCTCTCTCTCCATCTTTACTCTGTCACTCTGTATCATGTGTCTCTCTCTCTCCATCTTTACTCCGTCACTCTGTATCCTGTCTCTCTCTCTCTCATCTTTACTCCGTCACTCTGTATCCTGTCTCTCTCTCTCTCCATCTTTACTCCGTCACTCTGTAACCTGTCTGTCTCTCTCTCCATCTTTACTCCGTCACTCTGTAACATGTCTGTCTCTCTCTCCATCTTTTCTCCGTCACTCTGTAACCTGTCTGTCTCTCTCTCCATCTTTACTCCGTCACTCTGTAACATGTCTGTCTCTCTCTCCATCTTTTCTCCGTCACTATGTCACTCTGTATCCTGTCTCTCTCCCTGTTCCTCTCTGTTGCTAATCCTTGTATGCATATGTGTTTAATGCATCATTGTGAAGCACTGTGAATGTACAGCCATTAGCTGTGGATGCATTCCACCCCTCCCTCCCTTTGTCTCCTTCTCTAACATACCCACAGAAAAAAGGGTTCCCTCCTGTCTTCATCCCCCTCTCCTTCCCTCACCTTCCCGGTTGTCGCCCGTTGTGGTGGCGTGCTAAACTCCTGACAGCGTAGCCCGGTGAATAATTTATAGCAGGGATGTGAAAGTTTGATGCGTGGCTTGCGGGCAGATTTAACCTGCAGGCTGAGCGTGCCTTCACCCATCAGCCAGCTTTATCTCTGCCAACTCTTCCTCTGACACACACACACACACGTCCCCCGGTCTGTCCCAACGGGGCAGAAAAAGTTTCTGCGATACTGTAGTGACACGGTAACACAGATTCAGGAGACCACGGGAAAAATCCTGTGGTCTCCTGTATGGATGGCTGCTGTTAGCCATTGGCTATTGTCTCATTGATAGAATAAGTAGTTGAGCAATAGCCGGGGAATGTCATGTGTAATATCCTTAGTTATTTTGGGTAGGCTTAACAGTGCGTGTGTGTAAGAGAGAGAGAGAGAGAGAGAGATGTTAATATATTACTCCTGTGTAATTAACGTTCCTGCTGGAGGCTCATCTGTTTCTTTCTGGACCGCCTGGTTAGCGTGGATGTGTCCTGGAGGTGACATGAACAACCAGGTATCCCAAACTCACCACGCAATCAGACGTTTCGATTCACTTTCAAAACATTTTAAGAAATGAACATACAGTATTTTATACATTTAAGCCTTGAGAGTCAACATTAGGATGCGATTGAAACATTATGTATCAATGGAAAGATTCCTCAGTTATTTTTGGGAGAGGCTTAAAGAAAAAAAGAAATTGCTTCGCAAATGGGATGAAAAGCCAACCGAATGATGATAGAGTCGGCCATATCCATCCTAGCTAGCCGTTAGCTATCGTAACTCGTGCTCGACTGTTGTCCCAATCGGCTGATTTCAAAAGGAAAACACCGGTGTCCCTTGAACTTGAACAAAGATCTAACTTCTCCCTGGAACCCGCGCAATCTCTCTCAACATGACGACCGTCGCCTGCTGATTTATTCATGATGCGACTGCTAATGTCGCCGTTGTCGAGACACAGGTGAAAACCGGGACATTGTGTGGGTATCTAGTGTGGGAAATGCCTGTTGGCTTTGTATTTTTTTAATTTAACCTTTATTTAACCCGGTGGGCCGATTGAGAACAAATTCTCATTTGCAACGGCGACCTGGGTAGAAGCTGGGGATCGAACCCGGGACATTCTACACACAAAGCATGCACTCTACCACTGAGCAACCACCTCAAAAGGGTACAGTTGTCTTATGGAACGCCCGATATGAGGTGGATATCAATATGTAGAACACGTTAATGTGTGTAATGGAATATCTGTCGCCTGCCTATAAATAATGATTTCACATCTCCATAAAACACACGTACTGCACATGTTATAGAACACGAGGTACTCACTGACCCTGCCAGGTCCAGACAACTGCAGAATTTACGCTCTACACTAATTGCTTCCCGGCTCGTGTGCTAGCGCTAAATAAGTTCCTGATTAGTAGCGAAACGTTTCAGTCCTTGCTGTTGCCAGGAAGTATTTCCACTTTTTCATTTGTTGTAAACTTTTCCCCATCCAGCGTTTGCTCGAGAGATGTATCAGTGATGTCGTTCTCACTTGTTTCTAGAAAGAATCGTTTTAGACAACTCACCCAAGCCAGAGCTCTTCACACGCGGCGACGTGTTTCTTTTTTCCGCGCTTATTATCTATTAGTGTCTTTAATTTAACAATGAGGAAAAGGTGGGCGGACGGAACAGGAGGGGAGTGCGGAAGGGTGATTTAATTTGGTTATAATCTCATTTGCTTTGATAAAAAATGTATGCAAATCCTTTGTAGCAACAGGGTTCAGTGAGAAGACGCGACACGTTTCTCCGCTCGCCACGTCCTCCGCTTCCCTTCCTTACACTCCTCCACTCTAGCCCTTTTCCCTGTTTTTCACACGCCAATAAACAAGGAGGCGCGGGGAAATGGGAGGCCGCAGTGTGGCTGTCGCTGTAGTGGCTGTATGGATGCTATAAGATAACATGGGACATGTTGCAGACACCGTTAATTATAAGCTACTGGCAGTCACCCAGGTGTGTAGAAGGATGTTTCTGATGAGGGTGGATTTGAAAATATACACAAGTAATGAGTGTTTGTCGGCGCCGTAGACCACATTAGATTAAGATATTCTGATGCAGTGTGCGGCGTATGGTCTGAGCACTGACTGGGTGAACCCCCAACTCCTTCAACCTCTGCCGCAATGCTGGCAGCACTCATATGTCTATTTACCAAAGACAACCTCTGGATATGACGCTGAGCACGTGCACTCAACCTCTTTGGTCGACCATGGTGTGGCCTGTTCTGAGTGGAACCTGTCCTGTTAAACCGCTGTACGGTCTTGGCCACCGGACTGCAGCTCAGTTTCAGGGACTTGGCAATCGTTTTATAGCCTATATCTTTATGTGGGGCAAAAAATTTTTCAGATCCTCAGAGGGTTCTTTGCCATGAGGTGCCATGTTGAACCTCTAGTGACCAGCATGAGTGTGAGAGGGATAACACCAAATTTAACAAAACTGCTCCCCATTCACTCCTGAGACCTTGTAACACTCAAGAGTCACATGATACCGGGAGGGAATATTGCTAATTGGGGTCAATTTGGACATTTTCACTTAGGGGTGCACTCACTTTTGTTGCCAGCGGTTTAGACATTCATTTCTGTGTGTTGACTTATTTTGAGAAGACAGCAAATGTACATGGTCGGTTTTACAAGCTGTCACTACTTTACATTGTAGCAAGTGCAATTTATTCTGTGTTGTCATATGAAAAGATATAATCAAATATTTACAAAAATGTACTCACTTTTATGAGAAACTGTACATTTCCTGTAGTGGTCTTTAAAACTCAAATGCTAGTGCCAGACAATGTAAGGGGGCCAGACAGACACAACTTTGAACCTGGTCTGAAATGTATTCAGATGCTTTAAAATTCTACAAAGGTATTTGAAGAACCAACAGGCAGCCATGGACTTTAAAAACAGTGTCGTGTTTGCTGTACTTGTGTTTTGTGTTGGCTCAGTGCCACTGCATTCCGAATGGATTGTGAGTGGTTCATGTTTTTTAAAGACTGTGGTAGTGCAGTAGCAATTTTCCCTCGTACATTTTCTGTAATTCCCAACATAAAACAAACGTCTTGTTTAATAATTGATTTAGTGTGTCAGTGTTTTAAAATAAAGCATCAAACAGAACAAAATGTCAATGTAGCAAGGTAAAAAGTGTAATTTTGCAAGTGTAACAGTGTTGAGGATATTAGGTCCTCACACGGTGTTTTCTTTTAGTTGTCCCCCATATTTTCACTCGCACAATTAGTAGTTAGCAATTAGTAGGATATTTAAGTAGGCTAGTTTACATGCAGCATTGCTTTTCATTATTTCCAGTCTTGATGTGGGTGAGTGTCTGTATTACGGGTTTGTTTGACTTTTGTCATATTTTATAAGTCGCATGTCGCATGCTTTTATTTCAAAGTTTAGCTTATAGGTTGTCCATGGGCATTTGTTGTTTCTTCTTGTAGCGTTAGACATTTCCGCAGCCGTCTATCGTCGGTATTACAGTCACCAAAGTAGCTAGCTAGCTTGTTCTAGTGCTAATATGTACGGGGGAAAAATGACAGACAATAGACTGCTGCGGAAATGTCTAACGCTACAGGTTATGGGCCCAGTCATGGAAGCCAAAGGTGAGTTCCCAGACTGAAAAGACGATGGTTGTCTGTCATTTTTCTCCCGTACATATTAGCACTAGAACAAGCTAGCTAGCTACTTTGGTGACTGTAATAACGACGATAGACTGCTGCGAAAATGTCTAACGCTACACTTCTAATGAACAAGCCATCGAACGTTATATCCAGCTCTGCACTTGGCTTCCTCTGCAATACACCAACCAGCAAACCGTGACAGCAAGGCACTGTATGTGTCAACTCGCTAGGGAAAACACTACCAAAGAGGCCATAAAATATATTAACTATTGACACCTACACATTTCAGTAATTTAATGTCCACTTTAGAGTTCAAGATGTACAATGACTTGAGGGTAACTGTTAGTATGTGCGGGCACCCAGGGAGTCCAGATAACAGCTCCTTCAACACCACCGCGAGTCTGCATATGACCACAGAGATCTTAACGTCTTTAGGACCGGCACGTACTGTCAGCCTGTGAACAGAATCCAGAAAATCAGTTCCATGAGTTGGCACTAATAACCAAGGCTGTTCAGGTGTCATATGAGGTGTTAATTCTTCACCAGCTTGTCAGGAAAGACCTGCTCCGTGTAGCAGTGAACTGAGCAGGGCAATTCCAGATTAAGCCCTTTACACACACATTATTTGACTACAGAGGTTATGGGTCCCACAAGGGACCTTTGCAAGTGCCTATTTTGGACTTCATTTGACGTATGTTGCAGTGACCTTCCTCATTTCACAGTGTACATTATTACAACATCCAGACAGCTGTTCACGGACAGCCTTCACAGACAGCCTTCACGCAACGCCTTCCCACAGTTTGGATGTGCCGTGAGAACGATCAGAGTTTGATGACATTGGCGACGGGTCCACTGGTATTTTATAGTATTTTCACTTCCTTGCACTGGGTTTCAGGAAGGGGCGCAACACTGATGGAAGGGGCTGAATCATTGATATTTCAGGATTTTCAAACTGGCTTCAGATCAAATGTGTACTGGGGGCCTGGGGGCTTCTATAGAGCAGTTTCGGTCAGACGGCACAAATCCTCTTTCCTTCTGAAGAAATGCCCCGCAGAATTCCAGGAGAGTGGGTTGGTTTCTGGTCTGGTTGTCATTGTCACTCTAGTCGATGCAGATGTAACTCTAGTCACTGCTATGTCTATATGTTTTGAGAACAGGAAAACAAAAACATTTTTTTACAGGTACGTTATAAAATATCAGTTGATTGACTGATTTTATTTCCATCAGATATTTCTGTTTGTGGAATTTGCTTAACCAAAGGTGCTAGAATTCTGCCCCCTGGTTTTCATTTGGAACATAGATGACAGTGTAACGATCTGCCCTTAGGGCAGACGACAAGCAGCAGACATAGGCGCAGAGAATACTTGTAAATTTATTTATTATGTCCAGGACAGGCAAAACAGGCACCAGAACTGGAAACTTAACAAAAACAGAAACACAAAACGTCAAACCAAGGAGTATACTCAAAACAGAAATACCACAAACTAAAAACACAAGAAATCATGGACTAGAACCGAACAAAACACAAACGGACTAACAGACAGGACACAGTATGAAACACAAAGACTCTAACCGTCCTGACAGTGAATGAAACCTCAAGGACTACTAAACGGGTTACAGCAACTAGAAACAAAGACAGGACTCATAAACATAGACAGACTATGGACCACAACCAGACAAACCCAACAGAGACATTAAATACAGTACTGAGAACAAAACCTCCATACAAACGAACAGCCTCAAGACAAACGAACCAACATACCTTAACAATGCCCCGACACTGAAGAACAGACAACCCCCGACTTAAATACAAGAACTGACGACCAAACCAAACACAGGTGTGAAAACAAACAGGTGACAGGAATGTCCTTGATTCTCCCGCTCTGCTGATTGGGGGAGTGCCAGCACCAGCATAGAGGGGGACAGAGGGAGTTCCTTACACTAGATTGGGGGAGTGCCAGCACCAGCATAGAGGGGGACAGGGGGAGTTCCTTACACTAGATTGGGGGAGTGCCAGCACCAGCATAGAGGGGGACAGAGGGAGTTCCTTACAGACAGGGCTCAGTCTCAATTAAATCCATGATTAATGCCTTAACCCTACCCGTAAATCTGATAATAACCCCACTATATATTTTACTCTAAACCTAACCCAGCTGAAATGACTGAAATTAATTGCAAATATACTTTCACTTTAATCACTCAATATTCCTTTAAAAAACGATTCTGACCTGCCATCTAATAATGTTCCTCCCCACAATGCATGGTATTCCATTTGGATATCTATATACATATTTCACCTCACCTTTCTCACCTACTCATGCACCTTATCTCTCTGTATCAAGTAACACCTAATATTTCTCTCTGTATCTAAGACACCTAATATATCTCTCTGTATCTAAGTATCACCTCATCTGCTGTCATTTACATATCTGTAGCTAAGTGCATGTAGCTACAGGTTGGCTGTGTGGTTTTGCCCACGTACTTTATGTAGTTCTGTTTGTTGAATACCATCGACA